AATCTTCATTACTTTCAGTTTCAAAATGTATAAGGTCCTTTCTTTTAATGCAATTGATAACATGAAAAAAAATGTGCCTTTCCTAAATGTAACTTGAATTTTTCTTTGTTGGTATAAAATTTGGCTTAGATGTTAACTAACTACATAATCAATTAAAAGGTAAACTTTGAGAACAGGATGTGTTGTGTCACAGTTCCAAAAGTAGTCTTGCTTCAGGATTTTAGTTCTCAAAAACTGTAAGACCATTTTTTCTGATTTTTCTTTCTTGGATCAGGTACTGCATATTTTAGATAGATGGCAGATAGATGGCCGATATCCATCGTGGCGGGATCAATAGAAAGATGAAAGGAAGATAGATGATATGATATGTAGACAGGAATATGCATATTTATGTAAAAGTACTTTTTTTATAGGAAGCAAGCATCTTTGTAGTTAAAACTTTCTGTGCTTCCAGTTTTAATTCCCATAATGGTTGTTAGTGGAAAAAAGTGAGTATAATAGTATATAATGAAGTTTTTTTTAAATGATTCACTTATTGGAGAAGCAGAGAGAGAGGGACAGAAAGAAACAAACATCTGTATTGGCCTTCATCTCCTGGTTCACTCCTCAGCTGCCTGCAGTGGAGCTGGGCAGGGCTGAACTCAGGAGCCAAGAACTGAGTCCAGGTCTTCTACGAGATGGCAATATCCCCCTCACTTGAGCCATCACCTAAGGTGTGGGCAGAAGAACTGCAGCATTTCTCATCCTGTCCCCAGACATCTGCTTCTTAGGCTGAGTCTCTTTCACGTATCCAGCACCCACCGACCAATTCTTCATTCATGGACTATGGAACAGCACCTCTGGAAAGGCTAGCTCCACAGTGCCCCTTGTCACTGCCCATGCTGTGAAAACAGGAGATGCTCACTAGGAGAGGCAAATCAGGAATACCCAAGTCCGACGCACCTGCCCTCTCCCTCCCTAGTGCTCAACTCTCAACGCCAGAGAACTGTACAGCCTGGCCCTGAGCCTCAGCCCTAGAGGCAGAGTTTGAAGATATTTTGCCTTTGGAGAATGAATTAAACTACAAAGCATAGAGCTCTTTTTATTTTCCCAAAGACAATGATTTCATATACAGCAACATAAAGAAAAGTTCAAGTCTAAGAACCACAGAGATTATGATGGAAAGTGTCTGGGAAGAAATGGTAGATTTGTTAAAAATGTGAGTTATGCCGCAGCTCACCTGGCTTGCTGGAGAGATCTTGGGAAAGAGACCCTGGAGGAGCCAGCCTGGACTGCATTCCCAAGATTGTAAGGAACCTGGTGAGATCAATCATGGCATCACATGTTGAGCTGTGGCCTGTGATGCCAGCATCCGCCATGTGTGCCATTCTGTATCCTGGTGGCTCCGTGTTCTGTACAGCTATTTGCTAATGCTCTTGGAATAGCAGCAGAGGATGGCCCAACTGCTGGGTTCCCCTCATCTGTGTGGGAGAGCCAGATGAAGCTCCTGGCTCCTGCCTTTGGCCTGGCTCAGCCATGAGTGCTGTGGCCACTCGGGAAGTCAGTCTAGATGGAAGATCTCTCTTCTCCTCTCTTCTCTCTTTCTCACGCTCTCTCACTGTTTTTCTCTCTGCCTTTTAAATAAAGAAAATAAATATTATTTAAAAATAAAATAGCAGTCATCCTGAAAGTAATGGAGCCAAAAGGTTGGGAATGGTCATGAAAGAGAAAACCCTAACTACTCCCATTTCACTTCCAGAATGTTCCATGAATTCTAAGTACATGATAGTGAAGTAGCTGGACGTCAAAAGCAAATAGGATAGTTGCAAAGCTGCAGAAGAAAACTGACTCTCCCTGTACAATCTACTAAGATTGAAACCTGATGTCTGAGAAACACTGGCTCTCAAGAGGAAGTAGAAGATTCACAGAAAAGGCTTAAAGAAAGATCAACCAAGAACCTTATTTCCAGCAAAGCTATTCCTCAGAAATGAAAGTGAAATAAGCACATCCTCAAAAAAATGATAACTGAGTCTGCGGCTAGAACAGAGACACCTTCCGAGACTCTGAAGAATCAGTGGGCTTTTTCCCCTGTGTATTGAATTCTTTACCTGATGGAGTACTAACCCTCCGCTTGTGAAGTGAACTGGCAGCATGTTATTGTAAATATTTTAAAGTGTTAGGAAGAAGAAGGCCAGGTGGGAGCACAGCTGGAAGGGGGGGAAGTTGGGAAGTTTCACTGTGCATCTGAATCTGTATTGTGAAACACATGAAATCTATTCACCTTATATAAATAATAAAAAGGAGACACAACAGGAAAAAAATGCAATTCCAGTCAAATCACAGCAAAAAGGAAATTGTTTCAGGAAAGTGAATTGTGACATTATGAATACGAGTGCATATTTCCTCTTTAAATGCAACTGCAAAAAAATTAAGTGTTTAATATAATGTTGGGCTGATAGCACATAGAATGCAAATAGAGGCCCCAGTAATAGCACCAGACAGAATGGGAACCAGACGGAATCAGGCGAGGAAATGACTGGAGAAAGTAGTCCAAGTCCTTAGGAACAAATGGATAGGTTCTTACTAGAAAAAAAAAATTAATGTTTACTAGCTTTCCTTATTTCCATGAACTTCTTTTAAAGTCCTACAGTCTTAGCAGGTTATATCAGTGTGAGGGTCTGGTCCAGCCCAAGTCCCATTTTAGAATGCCTGAGTTCAAAGCCCACATCCTGCTCCTGACCACCGCCACTTGCTAAAGCAGATCTGCACTCAAAGCCCACATCCAGCTCCTGACCACAGTCACCTGCTAAAGCAGATCTGAACTCAAAGCCCACATCCAGCGCCTGACCACAGCCACCTGCTGAAGCAGACCCTGAAAAGTGGTGGTAATGTGGCAGGTAATTTGGTTTTGCCATCCCCGAGAGAAATGTGGACTGAATTCCTTGTCCTCATCATTGGTCTGGCCAGGTCCCACCCATGGTGATCACTGGGGAGTGGAACCAGGGTTTGGGAATCTGTTTCTCCCATTCTCTTTCTCACTTTGCCTCAAATGAATTAATTAAAATTTTAGAAACTAAGGCGGTACTTGGTTTATGATACTTATGTGTGTGCATATCAAATGCAAGAAGGAGTAAAAGGCATATAGGAATGCTTCTGTATCTAATATACTTAAATCAACGTCATCAATCTGGAATTGATTCCAGCAAAATGTTTCTCCTGGGCTCCAGAACAACCACTAAAGAATAGTCAGTTATGATGCGTGGTGGTTATGCTCTATAAATCAGGATGTCCTAGGAAATCCACAGGCTTAAGTTACTGTCAATTCCTAATCTCAACGATTGGATCAACTAATCAGTGCCAAACCCAGTTTTATGTAAATTTATGTTTAAAGATATTTTATTTAATATTTTTTGTTAATTTGTTAACACTGAACTCAGGAAAAAAATGTATAGCTCATGCTAAGTAAGGCTGATATAACGCTTTCTTATTTATTTTGTTTTCTTTTTCTACTTGAGAAGTGAGTAGATTGGATTACTGAGACAGATAGGCATGCTTACTTGCCATTCTCTGGTTCACTCCCCAGAAGACTGCAGTGGCTTGGGCTGGGCTGAGCTCAGCCGGATCCTGGAGTGTGTGGTGTCAGGGGCCCAGGTATTTGATTTATCACCTGCTGCTTCCAGGGTACATTAGCCAGAACCTGGAATCAGGAAGATGAGCCATCTTTCATACTCGGCACTCCAGTCCGGATGCAGGTGCCCCAAGCACAGACTTCATTGTCATGCCCATCACTGGTCGCTCTGCCACAGGGATTTTCCCCTCCTGGGGAACGTCACAGTCCCCTTGCATTTAGGAACAGCGGAGACCATGTCAGCACTGCACATGCAGAGGCTCTAACATCTCACCAACAACAGTCCAGGAAAATCAGAAATGTGGAAAACATGACTGTAGGCAGGCCATGGAAAGAAGTCTGATCTATAGTACAACTGAAAGAAACAAGAGCGTCTCCTTGTGTAACCTCCATCAGTGACATGAGTCTGAAGACTCAGCGTTTTCCAGTTCACACACGGCGCTCATGAATAATGAGGATCAGGTGTAACTAGTGGAGGATTTGCCTTAACAAGAAGTGTTTAGAAACTGTTTTAACGTATGTCTTAGCCTTTTTGCACTACAACTTTAGCTTCTCTCCTTTGCCTATGATCTTGGTTTTTGTGTGTTTTTATTAGGGAGTCTGTGTTTAATTCATGTTGCAATGTTAAATGTAGACAAATGCTTGCTATATTCTTAGCACATTAACTGTGACTAGTAGAGGTTCCATGTACACTCGTTCTGAATGTATATGTAAATATGTGTGCATAGTAACACAGTTGCAGGTAGATGATACATGCAGTTGCCCTCAGAATCTTCAGGTTTAATAACTTCACATTCAACAAGAGAATGAAAAATATTCTGAAGCGATCTACCCCCACTGAACACACAGACATTTTCCTTGCCGTTAGTCCCTAAATAATAGTACCTCAAACTAACTGCAGAGTTCAAGTAATCTAGAGATGGCTGTGAGCACGTATTCTGGTACTATGCAGATTCTACACTGTTTGAAGTGAGAAACTTGAACATCACATCGGTGCGTCTTTGGGCCCTGCTACCTCACGGGAGACCCACGCGCAGTTCCTGGCTCGTGGCACTTGTGTGGCTCAGCCCGGGCCATGGCAGCCTCTTTGGAGAGTCACCAGTGGATGGAAGATTATGTGTGTGTGACTCTGCCTTTCAAATAAATATTGCATGAAACTATTCTGTGTAATTTGTACATTATTTCAAAGTGCCAAAAAAAAAAAAGAGAACTGATGACATAATGGTAGACATTTTCTTTCCTTTTTTTTTTATTTTTACTGTAACTAATTCAAGACAATCAGAAAGAGCCATTGCAGAGTGGTTTAGGACTGTGGTAACTAATCATTTTTGCTTCAGCATTCCGATAAAGAGCATGTAGTGTACACAGAGTGAATATTATTTTCTCTTTTAAGGTAACTGAGCTGCATAACATCAAAAATATAACCAGATTGCCTCGAGAGACAAAGAAGCATGCCGTGGCAATTATCTTTCATGATGAGACGTCGAAGACATTTGCCTGTGACTCAGGTAAGCGATTATGGGCCCGTCTACTGCCTGAGGACATTGGCTTGCTTCTGGCACTGGGGCCCAGGCAGATTAAAGAACGCTGCTGCATGTGGTGCTGTGTGGTAACGAGCACGGGCTGCAGGAGACTTCAGGGAGGATTCCCGCAGAATGTTTTGGGTGCTTGTATTGCCTGTCTGTATGTGCGGATGGCTCCAAGGTGGCCTGACGTGTCTGGGGCTTCCATTCCAGCTTGGAGGGTGAAGTCGGCCATATCGGGAGATGTTGTTAAGGTAGAGTGTGCGAGTTGCATTCTGTTTCTGGCTGTGTGGTCGTGGGAGGATCTTAGTAGGTCCATATGCTGCCCTGCGGAAAGATGGCAGCACACAGTTCGGTCTTCAGACGTGGCAAAGTCGGACGTGGAGTCAGCAGTTGGCTTTTGTAGATTCTCAGTACTACCAATAAATAGACTTCACATTGAGGTTGTAAAAGTAAGGTTAAGCAACAGGACTGCGTGACATCCAGCAGAGTCAATTATGCATGGGTTGTTTTAAGCCACTATGAGAATATCCCTGCAGTGTTGTGATAACCTTCAGAAGCCGGTCGGGGCAGGAGCTGCCAATCGACCCGTGTTCCTGTCTCTTCCCTCGCAGTGATTGAAGTGCTTGGCCCCTGTCCCGCCAGTCCTCTCCGTCTGGCTCAGCTGCTTGGCAAAGGGCTCAAGCCTGGGTTCCCATTCAGAATTCTGCTAGGCTTCCCCTAGCAGAAAAGCTGAGCCTACCACCTTTCATTCTCAGGAATCAGCTACTGTACCAGGCTGCCCCAATATGGGCCAAGCAAACTGCCCCCTGAGTTGCGTCACAGCTGTCCTCATGCTGAGAGCCAGGGCGGTCCCCCAGAAAGAGCCGCAGGCCTCGCCATGGGCCTTGGCCAGCAGATCTGGAGTTGAACTGTGGAGTATGACGCGTTTCCTCCCAAACCCTTTTTGCTCTTGCAAAAGGGGGGCGAGGACACAGAAATGTTTGCAGTGAATTTGTCTCTGTGTGTGGTGATGTTCCCTGAAACAGAGGCCATGCTGCCATGTGGGAAGCCTATGGTTGGGGCTGGTTGAGAGGAAGCTGCCTGGGTGCTTCCACCAGTGGAGCAGGGAGACCACACCTGTGTCTGTCTTTCTGCTGCTTCACAGCTGGAGGTAGAAAGAGAGCAAGGGCAATGGGGAAGGCAGGAGTTGTTCAAGTTGTGTTTGCAAACAGAGTGTTTGTCAAATAGATGCTGAAGTGCCTTAGAAATTAGACAACGTCACAGCACAGCCAGGACTGAGCCCATGTCAAAGGTCATATCCAGAGCCACGGAAGCACAGTGTGCATGTGGCCAGAGATGTGGCTTCTCTAAAAACTAAGGCATGGAGGGGGTGGGGATTTTAACTGATTTTCACCAAATTCTGGCCATTGGGACTCAATGGAATGTGACTGCACATCACCAGGATGTGGAATCTGTGCTGAATCAGCTGAAGTGCGCAAAGAAAAAAATCCTGTTGTCGGAATCCTTTGGGCTCCTCCTTCTGCCCTCGTCCCAGGAATGCAAGGCCACGGAGGTTCTCTCTCATCTGCTGCAGGCTCCTGAGGGAGCGTCCTTCGAAACCACAGGGTCATCATTTTCCATAGTTACTATGTTACACAGTAGAATACCAGAATTTCTCTCTTTCAATAAACATTTGTTTGTTTATTTTGAAAGGCAGTGTGATAGAGAGAGGGGGAGAGAGATTTTGCATCTGCTGATTCACCCTCCAGGTGGACACATAGTGGCTAGTTCTGGGCCAGGCTGGACCAGGAGAGGCATCCAGGTCTTCGTGGATCGTGGGTGACAGCTACTCCAGGGCTTGGGCAGCTGCTTTTCCCAGGCCACTGCTGGGAACTGGACTGGATGGGGAACAACCAGGACAGGAACCAGCACCCATACAGGATGCTGGTGCTGCAACCGGTTGCTATGCCATGCCACAGCACCAACCCGAAACTCAAAAACTGCTAACTTGTGTAATTTTAATTAACTGATAATTAACCATTCCCCATCCTGTCCTCCTACTTTCTCTAGTCTTGAGACCATCCTTATATTCTCATATTTTAAGAGGTGAATTTTTAGATCCTATATGAGAGTAGGGATAATGGAATACTTGCTTTTTAGTGCTTGACTTGTTTCATTGACGTCAGATTCCATCAATATTGTTGAAAATGATAAAAAAATTCTTTCTTTTTGATTAAAAAAGGATGATTACTATCTTTAATCTCACACTACAATAAGAACATTATCTAATGTAACTATGAATTTACACAGATGGTCTTTCTGATTTGCCTTCTATCACTTAACTGCCTACATCTTTAAAATAAGCTATACTTGAGAATATTTGCATCACCTTTGAGGCTGCACTGTTAAATCTGTGTTTTGTAGGAAGTTGGAAGAGGCATGTGTATGTAGTTTTTTCCTGTTTCCTTGCTGTCTTACAGCAGCTGAGATAACTGAAATCACCTTCTTGATCTCCACAGGATTCACACCAGTGGGTCAATTGAAAGCAAAGCTTTTATTTATATAAAAGGCATTTAGTAGTCCAAGTACATTTGTCCCGGCTACCTACACTTCAGCTTGGCCTAGCCTTGGCCTGTGTGGCCATTTGGGGTGTGAATCAGTAGATGGGAGAGCTCTCTGTCTGTCTTCTTCTCTGTGTGTATATGAAGTAAATCTTAATGAAATTGATTTAAGAAATAAACAAATGAGAGAATACGCCATCTCCCATGTTGAAGAATTCCAGATAATTCATGTGGATCGTCCTCCCTTAAGGAGTCAGGGCCCCATAGCTGCTTAGAGGTGGACTTCCTTCCCGTAACGATTTCCTTCTGGTGAGAAGGATAAGGAAATGGATTGGGGAGGGTGGCATAGTCACAGTGGAGCCAACTGATGCATGAACTGCAGCTGGGTGTTCACGGTCCATGTCCAGAATATTCCTGAACATCAGTGATCAAGGCTGGAAGTCTGAGAAACTTTCCCCGCCAAGAGGAGCCTTTCATCAAGATGCGTGAATACAATGCGGTTCTCAATAAAATTCTGAACCAGAACAAAGGGCACTTGTGAACTATGAGAACAGTGGGGGAACTGAGGCAGTATTGACAAACTATGTTTATTAATTTTGTTTATCAATTAGTATCAGTATACTGAACTGAACGTAATGACTCAATTGGCTAATCCTACCATTATAAGTGGCAGGATCCCATATGGTTACCAGTTTGTGTCCCTGCTGCTCCACTTCCCTTCCAGCTGCCTGCTGGTTCCCTGAAAAAGCAATAGAGGACGGCCCAAAGCCATGGTCCCTACATCTGTATGGAAAACCCGGAAGAATCTCCTGGCTTCGGATTGGTTCATCTCCAGCCGTTGTGGCCATTAGAGGAGTGAACCAGCAGATTGGAGATCTTTCTGTCTCTCCTTCGCTCTGTAAATCTATCTTTCCAATCAAAATAATAAAATGAAATAAAAGCTCATATTTCTTATTTTATATTTTGAATTAAAAAAACTTTTTAAAGAAAACTGAGTGTATGGAATACATGAAATTTGTTTACCTTATGTAAGTAAAAAAGATTTAGAAGAAAAAAGGGTATAATTTAAAATTTTCTAAAAAGTAATTGTAGATGCTAGCTAGGATAAATTGGTTCTTAATTTTAACAAATCCACCACACCAGTACAGGGCACTGATAATGAAAGAACTCTTTGAAATTAAAAGATACTCTGAAATTAATCTGTAAGTCTAAAATGACCAAAAATAGGCAGCGATGATGGTTCAATTAACTGACTCACTGCCAGCCAGCAGCTTGGGTCTGGCTCCCAGTTCCCAGCTGCAGCTGTTGCAGGCATTTTAGAGAACTAACAAATAGAAATTCCCTATGTATCTGATTTAAAAATTAATGTGAAACTGACATAAAAAGACATCAATGAATTGGGCTCAAGCATGACAGGAATACAATATAATGTAAAGGAAATGCTTCAGTAAAATTTAATCATAATAAATGACATCAAAAATTATACCTGTGCGCTGTCATCCCTTTGAATGTTTTCTGGATGATGAAATGTTGTGTGTCACTGCGGAACAATAGACAGCCATCCCAAACACCTGCTCTCATACAGGGGATGGTAGAAAGCTTCAGGTGTTTCCCTAATGTCTTTACCACTTCTGCAGCCCAGAACCACATTTATGGTCCCAGGTAAAAGTCCCATTCTTCAAAACAGGCTGGTGACTCGGGACCTTCCTCAGGGTCATTCCGGAAGAGTGTCCTGCTGCCAGCTTCGAAATAGTCATCCTGCCGCTCGCTGCACAGTTTTCACTGAAGCCCTGCTTGGGCACCCGTCACGCACTTCCCTGGCAGAGACAGCAGTGACTGAAAAGGCAGAACGATGGGTTTGTGACTGCTGTGGCCGGGATACACCGTTCTACGCTTGATCTTAGCCAAAAGGCCAAGAAGCAATAGGAATATACTATTCTAATAAAATGGGAGGGGAAACATTTGGGGGAGGAAGTAGTAGGGGTGCAGGATGGTAGGGGAAGGAGATGGGAGGGGTGGAGGATGGTAGGGGAAGGAGATGGGAGGGGTGGAGGATGGTAGGGGAAGGAGATGGGAGGGGTGCAGGATGGTAGGGGAAGGAGATGGGAGGGGTGGAGGATGGTAGGGGAAGGAGATGGGAGGGGTGCAGGATGGTAGGGGGAGGAAGCGGTAGGGGTGCAGGATGGTAGGGGAAGGAGATGGGAGGGGTGCAGGATGGTAGGGGAAATCCCTTTGCCTACGGAACTGTATCATAAAAAATGAGAACATTCTTAAAAATAATAACAATATTAAAAAGAGAGAGAGACAGCAGTTACAAGAGAACTCATTTCACACCATGGATGTCATACAGCAAAATCTGATGCTGAAGTCCTGAACTTCTGCCCTGTAGGAGTACCCCCCGGACATTCTCTGCCTGAGTGTGAATTGTGTCAAGTCGGTTGA